AAAAAAAAAAAAAAAAAAAAGAATGAATGATTTGAACACACCAATAGGCAAAAGCAAACAAAAGTTCCAGAAAAAAAAAAACAAAAAAAAAAAAGCATATCTGTGCAGAAAGGAACAGCTAAAATAGTTGTGAAAGACAAAAGATTAGTGATTTATTTTTGTTTGGAAATTGGAAAAAAATACGTATAAAAAAAAAATTTGTTAACTAACTTACTGCATTGTAACAGCAGCACTAAACAATTTTTGTTCAGCACTTCTGCAATAGCACTTCTCAACATAATCTTTGCCGAATGCATTATGTCAGCAATGAAAGAGAACAGCAGATAATCAAGACAAATAATTGAGTAAGTAATTAAGTATATAATTGAGTAAAGTAGCAATTAAATCAAGTAGTCAGAGTAGCTCAAGGAAATTTGTTGAACAACTGTTTGGAAATTCAAGGCACCGTTGACGGAGACAAGCAAAAATTGTCTCACAAAAATTTATCGCTCCATCGCTTTTTTCCTTTACTTTTTTTTTCTTTTTTCTTTCAGAGTTATCACACCTCAGCTTAGAGCATTTGTCAACTGTTTAACTGCACCACAGACTTATCAAATCCATCTGAGCGATGAGCATCCCTTGTTTTTAACATGCATCTATACATTCACTTAATACTTTATCCACTTTAGTAAAGCTCCTTAGATAAAATGGTGAATATAAATAATAAAGATGGCAAGAAAAAAAAAAGAAAGTCAAGATTATAAAATTAGTTAAATAGAAAAAAGTAAATGTACATTAATATTTTCTTGTTTATCTAATTAATATAGTGCAGATGTAACGAAAGAAAAGAGGAAAAAAAAAATGGGAAGGAAAAATATGCCTAATAATATTTGCTCAGTATAAGTAAGTTTTATGCATAATAAAAGAGAGAGAGAGAGGGGAAAAAAAAGCTAAAAAACTTAACAGATCTTTTCGAATAAGACAATCTTAGCTTTAACAAACATATTTGCCTAATAGCAGTAATGATTCTGGTTATTCACACATCATTTACACACACACACACACACACAAACACAAATCGGTGTGACATTATAATGACCGTCATAACCATTACCACCAACATCGTCGTCCTCATCATAATAATCATCATCATCATCATCAGCATCAGCATCATCATCATCATTTTAATTATCAAAATTACCAAGGAATGCAAAAAAAAAAGTCTCTTCAAAAAAAAAAAAAAAGCAGAAATGTCAAAAATGCTACTTTAGTATTTTGCAAATATTTTTTATCCTTTTGCTTTTCGCTACAGCAAAAAGAAAAACGTAAATAAAACTAACAAGAGCAAAAAATAATATATAAAACTAAGAAATAAAAATAAAGCAAAACAAGACAAAAGTTTAAAAATAAGGTTTAAAAAATATTACTTTCAATATCAATAAGTAGACTCCTATAGCATTTAGCACAATACAGTGTACGATTAGATAAATTGATAGGTGAGTAGTAACCACTACGACGAAAACTTTCAGCACTATAACGCCGAAAATTATTGTAATAGACAGACGAAAATGAGCTTAGATTGGAATATTCACGTCCCGGAACACTGAATTGCCCAGTGGAACGTCGTGAATTTCTGTATTTGTAGGAAAGGGTTTGCTGTAAAATTATTTGTGGTGATGATTGCCGATGTGGTGGAGTTTTTGATGGACTTGCTTCCGATGGGGATTCGAATGGTGAAAGCAGTGGTTGTATTTCTTGTGAACCCAGAGATTTATGATAACATTGCGCTGTTGTTTTTGCTCCATCCGAAGTAACAACAATGGTTTTTGGCCGACATTTTCTGGGGTCCAGAAATTCAGTTGGTGACATCCCCAGGACAGTTACTACTATTGTGTATATTTATATCTTTGTTTATTTATTGCCACTTCTCTTTTCTTTTCTGTTAGCAGTTGTAGACCGTAATAGCAGAAGTCAGAAACAATACAAGAGACTGAAGATGGAGATGGGGAAGATTGTTGATGTTGCTGATGATGTTGAAAAAAAAGGGTATAAAGTATGGAAAATAAAAATTACAACAGCAATTAATAACGAGTGAAAAAAATCCCGTTTTTTTCCCCTAGTCGACTTTTAGTTTTTGTTTTTTCTGCTTATATGATAGAAGGAGGTAGAGGAATATGGCGAGGGAGAGGTGAGAAAGGAGCAAGGGGAGAAAAGTGGATAAAAAGGGAAAAAACGGGGAGGGGGAGAAACAAGGAAGGGTGATGAAGTATATTTTTAAAGGAAATCTCTAAACACCTCTTTCACATAAGTAAATCTTTTCAAATTAAACACTACCAGTCAACGGCCTAAGCAATAGCAACAGCAACGAAAGCAGTAGCAGCAGCAGTAAAACCACCAGTAGCAGCGGCAGTATCAGTAGCAGCAACGGCAACACTAAAGGCAACCAGTCCAGTACACATTCAGGATAAATGCCATTAGCAGGGCGCAATCAGAACACAAAACTGAAGAAACCAGGCACGTCAGAAGGAATTTTTACTAATTTTCCTTGGTTACGGCGACTTTCTTTTTTATCCAATTTTCATCGAAAGTTCAGACTTTTTATTTCGCTTATTAATTAAGAATAGAGCAGCAACCAGAAGTGTACGGGGACATTAGAAAAACTAAATGGAAAAAAAAGTTTATATATATTTATATGTACCTACATACGTATGTGTATATAGATATATTCTTGAAACGTGTAAACTGATTAGAAAAAGTGATGAATTGAAGATATAATGATGGAACAGAAAAAGGAAAAAAGAAGTTTAAGAAAAATTTAAGAAAGGGATAAAGATAAAAGGTTGTGTCAGGTTCCTTTTATCCCTGTCATTCCTCTACTATCTTTTCTTGTATTTTTTTTTAAATTTGAAAGCAAAAATTTTCAGTGTATTTTTAGGGCAAAACAAAACAAAAAGGGAGAAAAGGGGAGGGAAAAGAAATCGGTGTGAGGTAAGGTGGTCTGAAGTGGTAATACGACGGGAAAGAAAAAACAACTAAGTAAGACTGCCGGGTGGAAGCAAAAACAGCAACAATAAACTTGTGTAAACTGCAGAATGCAGCTAAATTTTTTCCTCCTCAACTCTTTTTCATATATTCACATTTCTTGATTTGTTTTATTTCTGTTGCCCATATACATATATCTATTTTTTCTGCCTTCTGATTGCTACTGCTGTTCTTTTTGTGTCGTCATTTTTGATGCTTTCGTACTCGACGATATATGCGGACATATTCAGTTTGTTTTGGTGGCTACGTCGTCGATGTTGGTGGCAAACAGCGGCAGATTTAGGTTTTTTGATGGTCATCCAAGTTTTTTTCTTGCTCACACAGCACTGTTGTTACTGCTGCTTTACTTTGGTGTTTGCTTTATTCGTTTCTTTTTCCCCTTCAAACTTCAACAGCTATTTGTGATAATCGTTTCGGTAGTTTGAAACCCACATCGTTTTTGCTCAGCGCTGTTGCACTTTTAGAGCAACAAGGAATGAATGAATGAATGAATGAAGTGGATGAGAGCGGGTGAAATGAATGAACTAAGTGAATCATCGACCAGATTTTTAGCTTGAACTACATGGATAAGAAGATTTTAAGAAAAAGAGCCAATTGATGGCAATAGTGATATTCAATTTATGTTTTCACAAGAAGATGACGAAGGAAGAAAAAAATAGATGAAACCATGTGATCATTTCAAACTTTTTTCTGTCGTGTTCATATGCAAATTCCCCTCTCTGGCCCCCTCCGTCCTTCTCCTCAATTTGCGATGCCTCTTCAACTCTCCCACATATAATATGTCGTTCTAATGTCTAGGCAGCTTAAACAGTTAGATGTTCCAAAACAAAACAAAAAAGAAAAAACAGCAACACATAAGCAACAAAAAGTTTGTCAGAATTGGATAGGGGAGTAGGGCTGGAAGGAGAAAGAAGCCGAGCAACCAAGCAAAAAATGTGCCGTTTTGATGTCTGAGCAAAAAAGACAAACAAATCTGTTTTTCATTTGCTTATTTGTGTGTTTGTCTGCCTGTTCGATCTTCTCCTAGTTGTCCGCTTTAATCAGACTTACGGCTAATTTAGTTCTTTATAAAAAAACACCAACTATGTGACGCTTTTTTTCTTTCTGACCAGATTAACAACGTTGAAAGTGATTTAGAATATGTGAGCTAAAATGACACATAGCGTTGGTAAGTTAATAGCTTATTGGAGGAACGAAAATGGGAGAAAAAAAAACAGGAATACTCATCATTGTACCTGTTCAGTTCCTTTAAGTCACTTCGCCTTTTTCACTCTTTTTCGTTTCTTTTGGAAGGTGGGGGGGGGGGAGTGGCGATGACGAGGGTAATGAATGACGAGTGAAAATGCCAAAAAATTTTTCAATTAATTATTTTTCATGTGTACAGATGAAAAATAAAGGTGAAAAATTTTAAATAACGTTTAATATCTGATCTATTAACGCTGTATTTGTACTCAGCAATGACTAATTTGGTAATGTGCATCAGTTACTCTGATTTCATTGCAAATGTACCTAAGCTTGCTGTTCTTAGTTAACGATTATAACACTTAGTAGATCAGCTGTGCTTAACCCTTCTCCCATTCCTTCTCCTCTCGGTTTTCTATCACCACCTTTGATCTTTTCTGCTTTCCTACATCGTCGATGCAACCAACATATATCAAGTAATCTCTGTTTCGTCAAATCACCGTTCGGGTAATTTAACTTCAGTTGTCTGTCTATGTCTGTCCAGTTGTAGACCTTAGTTTGAGCTACCAGCTGAGGCAGTTACTACCAATCACAAATTAATTTAGCCGTCTTTATAAACATTTAAAAGTGCTAATTTTTATTCATTCATTTC